AGGACACTGTTGCCCAGAAGGGAGGCAAACCAGGTCACACCATCGACTTCACGGCCCACTTCACTGTCCGGAGGAGACTGAAATCTGGGCACTGGCGTTGTCCTCAGCTTGTCTTGCTCAGAGGGGAAAGAGTGTTTGGAAAGACTCACAGGGAGCAGTGCCCATCACACCAAAGGTGGAATGGGAACCTTGGCGGGGGAGGTAGACAACCAGGGCCCCCCACTGAGGAGCAGGCTCTGACGTCATGGCAAGACGGAGTAATGAATGATGGAGCCGCTCACCCAAGGGCGCCTCTTAGACAAGGGACTCCTAAGAAAGTTCGAAGCGAGGGTGGTAGATCCTCAGAAATACAAAGCACCGGGCTGCGTGCGGGGTGTCGCATGGGGTAGCTGTAACCCCGAGGTCACAGGAGGCTCTGCAAGGGAATAAAGTACATAAATAGATGTTACTTAGAAAAATGAGAAGACCGTCTGTAATAGGTGGCTAATTACGGCATTAATTACTCCTTGGTAATTACCAAATGATTGCTGATTCTGTTTTCCTACATGATAGATGACGTCCAAAAAGGCTCATTAAAGAAGAGAATAAACATTCAAGAGCTAGAATTTAAAAGAAAAAAAGGGGGGGTTGTGGGGAGGAGGGCAAGGGGCCCGTTCGGAGAATGTGAAGGGAAGCGTCTATGGTTACAGCCAAAGCATCCAGCCCTCAGCCCTTCCTGTTATCCATCAAAAGCACATTTGTTAACCAAAACTTCGACGAAAACATTTGAAAACAAGAAAGAGTCTTTCAGAAAGGTTTGAGATTTTAATGGGTTGGGGTGAGATGATTAAGTTTGCATGAAGCTTTGCAGTAGACATCATTAATATTATTTTTATAATTTTGGCTCTTCTTACCTTTGCTGCATCTGCATCCCTGGTCTATATCTTGAAATATAACTTAGAACTGTGGCCTGGGTTTTGAGTAGATCTTTGGTGCTAGTTATGGAGCATTTTCCAGGAACCTGAAGGAGAACCATGCACTTCCCCACCCCATCCTCAACATTCCCCAGCCACAGAGACAACAGCCCATTAGGGGCGACCTCTTGGGAGAGGACCTCTGGGCAGCCCTGTCTGCCCTGTTCTAATACAGGGAGAGGCAGTGTCTTCACTAGTTGAGAGCAAAGGTTTTGGAATCAGATGAACCCGGATTGGAACTGACCTGGGACGGATCCCTAGGTTCCCTGTGCTCTGTTTCCTCCCCACACAGTGAGCACAGGAGTTGGGCTGTTGCGCTGCCCAGGGGCCCAGGCACAAGGTGAGTCGCAGGAGGACCTCAGTGGACGTCCCTGCTTTGCTAATGCTCCCGCTAACCCATGTGCCTGCTCTGGGAATCCTGCTCCCTACACAACGGGCGCCAGTGTTTTGTAACATTTCATGGAGCCGATATTCCAGTGAAAGAGAACATAGTAAACAAGCAAGTCAGAATCCAGCACCAGATTAATCTTCCTAAGAAAGTGAAGGCAGGGTGAAGTGAGAGGAAGGAAGTTTAGACAGCTGAGCCCTGCCTGATAAACAAGACCCAGCCGTGGAGAAACTGGATAAAAGGTGTACCAGGCAGAGGGTACAGCAAGCGCCAAAGCCTGGGAAGGGAATGAACTTGGCCTGGGAGAGGAAGGGAAGGGCCAGGGAGCTGAAACAATGAGAGCGACCATGAGGAACCAAAAGGGGATGCGGCCATCAGGTGGGCACGCAACTGAAGGAGAGCCTTGGCGGCCTGGGTAAGACACTTGGATTTTATTCTAACTCTAAGTAGAACGTGTTTTAGGCTCTTAGGCAGGGAGAGGATGATCTGGCTGCTGGGAGGGGCCTAGATAAGGAGAGGGGGTCCGTGGGGAAGCTGTTGCCGCATTCTGGAGGAGAGACTCTCGAGTCAGGAGTAGGCCGGGGCAGCGGAGAGGGCAAGTGGATTTCTGACATGTTACAGAGATGGGGCCAGGAGAACACGCTCGTGGATTCGCTATGGGCTGGGTGAGCAAAGGATGGCTGTCAAGGATAGTGCTTATGTTTTTGGCCTGAATTGGGGAGCGGCGCCATTTGCCCAGATGGGGAGGGCGCACCGGGGGAGGAACGTGTCTGGTGAGGGAGATCAGGAGTTGGCTGCGGACGGGGTTCAGTCTGAGAATCCTGTTAGTCATCCTGTGGAGGTGTCAGGTATACAGTTGGCTGTGGGTCTGGAGCTCTGGGGAGGAGCCAGCTTTTTGTAGCTTCTCAGAACCTTGACTGTGACAAGCAATGCCAAGTGAGGATGATCTCAGCTCCATTCCCATCCAAGTGTGCGGTGGTTTTTCCTTTCCACTCCCCTCTATGCTAATGACCTGTCTCTCCCATCCTCTTCGCGTTCATTCCCTGTTTTGGAAAACCCAAATCAAGGATTTTTACTGTTGGCTTTGAGGATTAAGAAAATGCAACCAAGAAGAACCCCTCCTAAGCGATGCTGTCTTTATGCACATTTGGCACAGGAACCCCAAATAGGAATCCTTCTACACTGAGAATCACTCACCCTAACAGTCCAGAACCATGGAGCTCTCCCCTCCTCTTATCAACATGGCAACACCTCTCTTAGCTGTCCTCTTTGTCTTGATTTTCTAAGACCTTTCCCTCAGAACCCAAGGCTTGCCCATTAGAGAAAAGGTGAAATGTTTTCTTTCATATTCAAACATTGTTTGCAGTTGCTGTGCATGGAGAGGTAACTATGGATGACCCTTTCACCCAGCGACCCTCTTTAAAACTTGTCTTTCCCCCTATGCCTCCAAGAGGGGCCACTAGGGGTCTTGTGAGAGGTGTCCCAATGGATCTTCCTAACTTTGGTGCCTGAACTCTGAGGGAGGGCCAAGGTGCACATGGGCCCCACTCACGGGCTGCACGCTAACATGGGAGCTCAGAGCCTGCTCCTTTGGGGCCCTGTTTCCCCTGGGATGGGTGAGGTTCTGGCCCTGGCTGGGAGGGTGGGGGTGGACAGGAGTGACAATGCCTGTTAATTAGCACTGTGCAGAGCTGTCGTCAGGAAGCCAGAAGCCACATGGTTCCAACCTGGTTTGGGGTTGGCATACCAAATTCAAACCAGCTGGCCTTTGTTTGGAAATGCCCTGGGAGGGTCCCGGCCCTTTTTGGACAACAGAAGGGCTGGCATTTCCTTATGCTGAGCTTTGTTTTATACACTATGAGGTTCTGTAAACACTGTAGCCAGTGCTGTGACAAACCCGGCTCCAGAGGCACACATACCCTCTCTGATATGTGGGCAATAAGAGATGGCATGAACCTAGTTACAGGGTCTCATTCATGGGGAGAAACATGACATGTCCATCCAGGGTCCCCTGCTTAAAATCCTCCCATGACTACCTGCCTATAAGATGAAGCCCAAACTCCTTCGAAAGGTCCTGTGTGACTCACAGTCCCCTGCTCATTCCTCTGATCTTACACCACCATGCCCTCCTCACCCAGCTCCTTATCCCTGCAACCCCAAGCTATTTTCAGTTCCTAGAAGGGTCCTGAGTCCAACCTTTGGCCTTTTATACACTCCTTGCTTTACTGGACACACTCTTTAACCCCTCTTTCTTGAGCTAACTGGTCCACATCCTTCAGGGTTCAAGGGTGCTGACCCTTCCTTGGGGTTCCAAGTGAATGGCTGTCGCTGCTGTGTGCTTTTAGGTAATGTTGATTGTGCTATTCTGTGGTTGCTTTACTCAGACTTTTCAGGCCCAGGAGGCAGGGGTCCTGCTCATTTTGTTAATCCCTGCTTTTCCAGTGCTGGGTACCAAGAAAGCCTTCCATAAAGGGCCCCCTGCTAGGGATGCAGACCGGTGCTCAGTGCATCCCTTCTCTCTAACATCTCCTAACCCACACACAGCCAACAGGACCCCACACTGGAGGGCACAAAGCAATGCCCTGAACTCGAGAGAGACGGCATACTCATCCCCAAGACAGCAGCAAGCTTAGAACTTTTTCTGTTGCTTAGAAACCATGTCTATCCAGCATATTCAAAAAGCAGGTCTGGAAACCACACAGGGGCGTGAGCTGGCATGTCAGCCTCAAACGCCTAAAGGGCAAAATTGGCTAAAAGCGAAAGGCACAGATTAAGAGACTCCTAATCCTGGGTTCACCTTCTGTGTTTGCTGCTGGTTACCTGTGGGACTGCTGGTGAGACACACATCCCCAGTCAGCCTCGGTCGTCTCATCTTTAAAGTGAGCACAGTTACCCCCGCTCTGTCATGTTGTCAAGAATAAGTGAGACAGAGCTTCTCAAGTGTTCAGCAAATTTTGTGTCCCTTAGTAAGCACTCATGAATTTATTATAACTAGCCCTGGCAGGTGTGGCTCAGTTGGTCGGGCATTGCCCCATGCACCAGGAGGTTGCAGGTTCAATTCCCAGTCAGAGCACATGCCTGGGTTTTGGGCTTGATCCCCAGTGGGGGGCGTGCAGGAGGCAGCCAATTGAGTGATGACTCTTCTCTCATCATTGATGCTTCTCTCTCCCTCTCCCTTCCTTTCTCTCTAGAAATCAATCAACTATTCTTAAAAATAATAATTAACAACTATTGTTGTGATAGTGGTAAAATGGATAGCTATTCAATTTTGAGGTTTATAGTTTTCCCATTGGAAATAAACTGACTAAAGTGAAAAAGAAAAGAAAGGTTACAAAATGGCATGTAAGGGGACTCCCCTTTCCCCCAGGGAAGGCCTCTGTGTGTATATCTAGAAGAAAGCCTGGGAAGACATTCTCTAAAGGGTTAACAGGGCCTTCCCCTGGGCGGCGGGTTTATGGTTGACCCTAACTGTATTGCTTTCTTGCTGATATTCTCCAGCATGACCACATTACTCATGAGGTGGGCGATGGCAGAGGGCGGATAGAAGGTTTAAAACGGAAAAAAGAGGAAGGGATTAGCTAAAGGCCGAGAGGGCGTGCGGGTGCGGGCTCCCCGTTGCAGGTCTTCCTGTCCTTACTGAACGGGCTCTCCTTTGGCAGGATTTTTCACCCAGATCTCCACGTTGGCGGACGTGCAGGAAAATGTCATGGAGTACCTCCACGTGCTGAGCCGGCCCAAGGTGATCGACCAGGAGCACGACGTGGTGTGGACCGAAGCTTACATCGACAGCACCGTGAGTCCACGGCCCTGCCTCGGGTGGGGAGAGGGGGACTTTCCTTGTTAATTCCAGAAGACAGCAAACGTATCCTCAAATGGGGGTCCATGACATTTTCCTTAGTTGTACGGTTTGTGTTGGCCCCCTGGGCAAACAAGGTTGGTGAAAACGTAACCAGCATTCTGGAAGGTGTCTGCTCAGCACGGAAAACTCACTTTTTGATTGCGTCTTCTCTGGCTACTTTTTCTCCTTCCCACGTGTGTACAAATCCTGTCATTGTAGCAGTGAATATGGGCATGTTAGGTTCCGTCCTCGCTGTTAGAGAGGCCCAGGCTTGGTGATGAATCTTTGGGCTCATCTCAGCTCTCACAGTGAGTCGGAGCCACCGGAGAGGCCACAGCTGCGTTTTCTTCCCGCAGACAAGTGAGAATGTGCTTCAGTGGAGGTTATATAGGCCCTGGGTTGTTTGTGGAACTCGGGCCAAGGCTCATTCTAAAGCTGAATTCCAAGCAAAAGATTCTGATGCTGAATTAGTTTAAAAGGAGGAGCTTTGCCAATCACCAAACAATGGCTCCCCGGCCTGGTTTCTTGTGTATTTTCAGGGTGATTTTTCATAGTGATAATGACTCTGATGGGAGTGGCTTTTTTCATTAATTGATTGTAAATGTTCCCACAGGGCCTCTCTCCCATCGTTTTTGTTGGGATTAACATCACATTAATCACTGTAACCCAGACATAGCTGTTCTCCCGAGTGGTCTCAATGGCTGTTGTGGGCCGGCTTTTCTCTCCATGAGCTCTCATTCCTGCTGCATGTCTGGCAGCCACAGGCAGATGCAGGGCAGGGACAGCGTGTGGGAACCCATCTTGGGGGTCACTGCAGTGCCTGCCCCACTTTGATCCTAAAGTCACTGTGGGGCCATGGAAATGTGAATTGTGCCCGGCTGGTGTGGCTCAGCTGTTGAGCATCAACCTATGACCCAAGAGATGTCGGTTCGATTCCCGGTCAGGGCACATGCCTGGGTTATGGGCTCGATCCCCAGTATGGGATGTGCAGGAGGCAGCCGATCAATGACTCTCTCATATCTCTCTCTCCCTCGCCCTTCCTTTCTCTGAAATCAATAAAGACATATTAAAAATAAAATAAAATATAAAATAAAATAAAATAAAATAAATGTGAATTGGTCAAGAAGGGGTGTCCCTTCCCCAGGAGAATCACCCTGAATAGAGAAGGTGCTAGGCTGAAAGCCCTCTCTGGTTGACCTTAGGCTTGTATCACTTTCAGAGTCTGACACCAGTTTGACTTAGAATCATGGAAATGAAATAACTAAGCTGCCTCACTTATGTTGGCCCTGTAGTAACAATAAGAACAGCAACAACAGCGATGGCTTCATCCCTCTTCTGTGCGGTTGAGGAAGGCAGGAGAGCGGGCTGAAGAGGAGGAGCGTGGGAGCCAGGATGGAAGCAACCAAGTCACCCAGTGGTTTTGTGATTAAACAGCCAGTTTCATCAGTCACTTTGTTTCATCAATTTAAAAAATATAAAACAAAGCCTCTATAATTAAAACATAATAGTACCAGCACCTGGATAGACAGATCAGTAGAATAGAAGGTCCAAAAATAAGACCCACCTACATGTAGAAAGTTAGTATGTGATAAACGTGGCATCTCAGGTCAGTGGGGCTAGGAGGGGCTTTGCACTAATGCTTTTGAGAAAACTAGCTAGCCATTTAGGAAAAAATAGTTCTGATCTTAACATCATACCCAGGAAAGAATTTAAAGTAGATCAGAGATCTAAACTGTGAAAAAGTGAAACCATACAAGCAGTAGAACAAAACGTGAGTCAGTTCCTCCGTGACCTGAATTTGGAGGACGGCTTTCTAATAGTGACCCCCAAATCCAGATGCAGTAAAAAGGAAGATAAGTTTGACCACTTAAAATAAAAACAAAGCAAAAACCAACTTGTGGAAGTCAAAAACTATTATAAGCAAAGACAAAACGTAAATTGTAAAAATAGGAGAAAATATTTACAGCACGTGGGACACATAAAGAACTAATATTCCTAATATATAAAGAACTTTTAAAAATGGAAGGGAAGACCCCAAAATTCCTATAGAAAAAAAAAGAGCAAAAAAACACGAGCATAATAAAATTCACAGAAAAAATGGCTTTTAAACATATGGGAGAACAAATGGCTTTTAAACATAATAAGAAAAATGCAAATGAAAATATAGTGAGATACCATTTCTCACCTATCAAACAGGCGAACACTAAAAGCTTAGCTGTGTGCTGTGTTGGCGGGGCTGTGGAAAGGGGACCCTCAGGCTCTCCTATGGGAAGACGGAATGGACAATTCCCCTTTGACCCAGCAATCCCAATTCTAGAAATTAACCCTGATGATGAACCTCAACAATATAAAAATAACGTGCGTTCTGTTCATTGCAGAATTGCTTGTAATTGCAAAATACTGAAAGTTACCTAAATGCCGAAACGTAAGAGAGAGATGGATAAATTATGGTACATCCACAGAATGGAGCCTTAATGCTAAAAACAGGAATGAGGGTGGTTTCCGTTGGTTGATATGGAATGATTTCTAAGCAAAATGCAAGAGTATAAATAAGGCGCTACCTTTTGTGTAAGAAAGAAGAGGGAATAGGAAGACATGTGTATCTGCTCATTTTTACAAAAAGAAGCACAGAAAGATAAATCAGAAACCAATAGAATTGGTTCCCTACGAGCAGCAGGAGAGATTGTAGAGTAGAAGGAACAGTGGAGGGAGAGAGACACCTGAGTCATTTTCTTGCATAGTTTTGACTTTTGAAAGCATGTTAATGCTCTATGTTTTTAAAACTTGAAATAAAATTTAAAATGGGGCAAGACTAATAGTGAATGCGAACAGAAGCAAATGAATTTAACTGCATTTCAAATGAGAAAAAAAAAAAAAAATTAACCAGAAAGGGAGGTAAAAGAAATAACCTCTTGAATACAGTAATTGCACATAGTATCAAATCCTGAACAGTATTTGACTACCCTCAGGCTCAAGGGGGAAAAAAGACTGCAAATACATTTTAAAATTTTGGTGTCGTTTGTAGAAATGTGTGTGTAGCAATTTTGAATTTATTTCTTGAGTGTGGTAGGAGTGAGCCAATGGAGAAAGATTGAAGGTGTCAGAACGGAGGCCCCGAGTTGGCTGCTGAAAGGGCCTAGAAGCAGCGGCCCCTGAGCAGCAGTGAGCACATCCAGAAGCCAGATCCTAGCTTCTAAAAATCACGCCCCCTAAAAAGAATCAGGGTTTCTTAGAGACATTGTTAATTCCAGCGGTTGGGTAGGGAAGGTTCTCCCCACCCCACTCCCCAAAAGCCTGGAGTATTTTGTTCCAGTAAGTGCGCAAAACAATGACATCAGGCCACAGGACACCGGAGGCAGCTCTCGCTGGTCAACTCTGGGACAATTTGAGCTTTTAAATAAAAAAAGGACAGTAATAGATTATATCCTGTTGAATAAAACAAATTCACGTGCCCTCACAGATTATAAATAGATAAACAGATCTCAAAGAGATGAGCTGAACAGATAATAAAGTGGGTGGGAAGGAGTGCAGTGTCCAATGCAGTGCTGACTGGTAAATGAGGGGGTCCCGGGGTTGGAAAATCACCACTTTTTGACCATTTTATAAAGTAAAGACTGGTTAGGGCAAAGGTCATTAATGGTTGCTAAATCTAGGGGGAAGTTTTGAGCAGAATATTTTCATTGTATTATAGAGCTTTCCCAGTGATTTTTGACAAGTTGTGAGGGTGTAAAATAGTATCTATACAGTGAGCAAATCCAGACAAAATCTTGAGTGGGCCATCAAAATTAGTGTCCCCCATGAGGAGCAAATGGGCATAGTGTGCTTTCAGAAAGGATGTATCACTCTTATAGAGTATCCTGGCTGGGGTATGTCACCTGGGGCTCCTGGTGAGGAAGCAGATAAAGCTTTGTGTTACTATGATGTCTTGCTTTAGATAATGTTAATCTCTTACATCAATTGTTTTAGATTGACTGATTACACCCATACATACACATACATGTTCATGTGTGGAGGGCAGGGAAGAGAGAGGGAGAACCCACAGCTACCCTAGCTCATCTGCTAATGAACTCTTGGCGGCAGAGGCAAAGCAAGTGGTCTGGGAGCAGCTTTAGAGGAGCAGTTGCAACGGCAAAGTCTTTGAATTGAATTCCTGTGCTTATCTTAAAAGATTTACTTGAAATTTGCATTCTGTGCCATAATCACCTTTATGTACTTTAAAATATGCTGATGGCTTAAGTGGCTCATTATTGAGTAAAATGGAATGCCAAGATAACAGACCTCTTTATCCCACCTCTTCCAGAAGCCTTTGATGTACATACAACTAACCCCCAGAATATGCCTGTCCCTGAAATGATAGCTCAGTGTCGCCGCTGTGCTTCCCCAGATTCTGCTGTATCTTTGCAAATAGCTCTGAGAAATCCATTTCCTAGTAGGATGCTTTTAGGCCTCCTTCTCATGGCGGGGGTCTTGAGAAACCGGCTGGGTCAGTGAGGTCGTGGGGGAGCCGGTCTTCCTCTTTCAGAAACCTGTTCAGTGAGCCGAAGGCAGCTGCTGCTCCAACAGGTGCTTCTTGGGTCGGGAAACAACAATCTCTTTAAACTCATCTGGGCCTGGATTCTGCCAGGACAGGGTCATTTATGTGGGGTCAACATAGAATTTGTATGCTGAACTCATCTGCAGAGTCTAAATTGTAAGAGGAACCCACCAGCTTTGGAACCACTCAGGAAATGATGGGAGCGGGAGTTTAGCGATTGCAAGGTCATGACCAGACACATCCAGAGCAACTGGCACTGGCGACTCCATTTTAATACCTGATGTCCTGACGGGATTGGCAGCTATGGAATTTTTTTATATTTCAACATTCTTAAAATCTACCTTAGCATAATAGCTAAAGGCATTGAATTTAGAGTAAGAATGGCCTCAGTTTGAATTCTGCACTTATGCCCTTGCAGCTA